TTAGAGGTACGTACTGAAAATTCGTATTGAATTTTAACAAATGGTAGTCGGAATGTGTTTAGTATAAAAAATTCATAGCAAAAAAGCTGTACTATAAATTTAAAATATTCACACTAATTTCAATAAAATAATAAAAAAATATTTGAAATTCTTTATGTGCATGGGTCTAAACACAATAATGCGTTAAAGCTATAATATTGCTTATATATGGTAAAAAAAGCTATTCATTCAATTTATTGAATGTGCAAGGAAATAAAAAATAAAACAGAATTTATCATCCAATTTTTACTTGATATATTTTTCCTCTGGAAATTTTTAATATTGTATTAAAAAAAATTCCAAGAGAAAAACAATTAAACTTGTCAAACTTTTATCAACATTTTTAAATTGAAAACTTTGCTTATTGAAAACGAAAAAAAAAAATAAAAATTTTCTAGATTTTATTTTTTGTCTTCTTCATAATTATAGTGAAAGGTCTACTACCTTGATAATGCCTTACTATTTAAGTCTAATTCTTATTTTAAAACTATCATATTTAAAGGAATTTTTATTTTGGAAACTATTTGTGTTATACTTTTATATTCTCAATTTAAATCCAATCAAAACGATAATAATCTCAAGAAAATTGAAAAACTTTCCAATATAGACTACTTGCATTGCAAAAAGAATTTATTGCAAAAATTTAGTTCACAATTTGAATTTCTTAGTAGTTGTTGTAGTTTAATTTTCCCAAAAGACATCTATTTTAATTTAAACATTAAATAATGAAAGAAATTGTCTTCCCCTATTATAATAAATTACCCCTAAAATATAATTATATAAGCAGTAAATAATAAAATGTTAAAAATTCGAAAGTTTTATTTATTTTGGATATTTTTAAGTTCCTGCTGTAGTATAAACATTAAATTTTAGGATTAGATAATTTAGAACTTATTCCTAAAGAGGAAAAACTTTTAAAATTAAATAAGTAATAGACAGTTTGTTAGTCTTAATTTTCATAAAAAAATATACTGCAAAATATTATTTTCAATAATCCTTAGAGGTTGATTAAGAGTGTAGAAATTTTAAAATACCTTTTTTATAATTTCAAACTCTTTTTTTAAAAAATGTTTTTCTTTTCTCAAATTTCTAGTTTCTCACATTTTAACTCTTACTCTTCACAGTCACACAATATCTCATCTTTCATTCAATATTTCCTTTTTGTATATGTATATATAATATTGAAAATATCTTTATAAGATCTCTAAGGATTTAATGCCAATAATAAAAAAAAGGACAAATAATAAAATATTAAAATAAAAGAAGAATTTTTTAGTGTTGAAGCAGAAGTAACAGAACATAATAAAAATAATAATAGGAAAAAAACATGGGGAAAAATATCGAAAAAACAAAATGCTGTCAAAAAGATATTCCCATAGGAGTTTATTAAAAACGAAAAAGAAAAACAAAGAAAAAATGAACAGTGAAAGACAAACATTTGATTTTTTTCGTCTTGTTAGTGCACATATTATAGAAAATTCCTTGTGTATACAAAATTAAAAAAGAAAATTTTTTATCAGGAGAACGAAAAAAAAACCTTCGTGAACAAAACTAAAAGGCTAAAGGAGCACAACTAGAAATAAAAAGAAAAATACTTTAAAAAGAAAGAAATAAGCGCAAAAGGAAAAAAAGGACACCTTACCGCTGTGTGAAAATTCATTTTATTATTTTAATTTTTTTTTTATATTTTCAAATTTTCTTTTTATTGTTTTTGTTTGTTTTAAGTTTATGGAAGAAAAAATATTTAATATTGTCAATATATTTTGCGATTTTTGTTTTTACTTGAAAAAGGATCATTTTTTCTTCACAACATTTTGTATAACAAATATTATTTTGTACAGTACAAGACTGGTAGACAGAACCAAAGTAATACACTGTAAATTAATGTTGATTTTTTTTGTTAAAAAATTAACATTATGCATTATATTTCGAATTAGAAAAATATATAGAATTTTAGGAAGTTAATATTTAAGTTTTAAACTATTCATATCAGAATCTAAAACGTTACCATACACTAAATTTTGTGTAAATAAAATTGTACTGTGGATTGTGATGTAGCTTATAATTAAAAATCTGATGTAATCGCATAGTAAGCTTTGAGTTAACATAGCTAGAAAAATGTAATTCTAATATTAGTTTCAAAAGCAAACAGAACTCGAATATTAAATTTCAAGAAATTATGACAATTAGTACCGTAGATATGATAACAAATGTAAAATCAATCCCTAGGCTGATCTGTTAAATCTAATTTCCTGCATAAATTTATCAGTATAATTAAAAATTTAAAAGAACCCAGTAGCTAAAATAAATTCACATAAAAAAATTTTAACAAAATCGCTTCAGTCGACAGACCGACAAATCGACAGACCGGCGGACCGGCAGACCGGCAGACCGACAAATCGGCAGTCCGGCAAACCGGCAGACCGACAGACCAGCAGACCGTCAGACCGGCAGAGCAACAGACCGATAAACTGAAAGGAATAGTTTATATACCCTTCCCTTCTATAGAGAAATGTGTTTCCATCAAAAACTCGTTATGGAAAATTTAATGCTAATCACATGACCTCATGCAATCCATATGCAATGCGGTTGGAAAATTTGAAGGTTTTCAAGTTTTTTCGTATCCCCTCCCTCTATTCCAAATATTTTAATGTAATTCAAATGACCAAATTCAATTAACATTAAATAAGTTTTTTAGATGTAAATTTAAAATTTCTTAGAAGCAATAAGACACACAGTTTCTATACTGCAAAAACTGATCTAAGTGTTCTATTTTAAACAATTTTAATAAACTGCAATTAATTTACAAAATGTTGAAATAAAACTGTACCATTGAATAAAAAAAAAATGTTATATTAGTGATATATATTAAACAGAATTTTCCAAAAGAAGAAAAAAACCAAAAAGAAAAAGAGGAAAGAAGAAAATAGGTGAAGTGAGAAAGGACACAGAAAACCATTAAAGGACATAAAGAGGCGTAATAGACTAAATTTTAATTTTATTTATATAAAAAAAAACAAAACACAAAAATAAAAAATAACATCGTCCTTTTTTTTTCTACTTCAGATTCCTTTTTCTTTAGCAATATTTTATTTTCATATAGAAAGATTCAAAAAAAAAAATATAAGAGTTGAAACAAACGAAATAACAAAAAAAAAGATGAACAAAAAAAACGAAAAGTATGCAAAAAAAAATTGCGATTTTTTTCATTTCCTTTTTTCTGACTCCTTTTTAACTGTACTAAAAATAAAGGATAATAACACTTTTGATATTATCACAGGTTTATATATCGGAGGGGCTTTAATCCTGATGCTATCTAAAAAATGTTTTTTTTTTTTTTTCTCTGGCTTTTAGGTACGTATATATGTATACATGTCGTACATATATATTTTTTAGAAAAAAATGTACGCCCACTATAATAATTGCAGTTAAGTTTTTTGTTATAAACGTATATTTGTGTGCGTGTGTGTGTTTCTGTGATTAAGGTAAGCGTCCTTTTTTTCCTTCTCTTTTTTGTTTTTATTGTCCACTTGTCAACTGCTGATATTTGGTTCCTACTACAAATTTGTTTATCTTATTTTCATTTAATATTTTTTATTTTTATTTCCAGTGTTTTTATTGTGTTATATTTTTATCTATGTATATTATTTACCATTCTGTAATAATATTAAATTTATTAGAATGAGAATAAAAATTTTCGCCTTATTAAATTTGCATAACGTTTAATTAAAAACGGAAATTAAAAAATAAAACAGAAAATAAAAATGATTAAACATTCAAAAAGATGAACATGAAAATAAAAACACAAAACTATATATATACAAATTTATATATATATATATTATATATAAATATAAGTGTATATTACGTATTTGTGAAGCGGCAACAAAAATAGCCGGAGATCTTGGGAAATGAAATTTTCTTTCATTTAATTTAATTTTAATTTATTTTCGTGTTGGTTTTTTCATGTAATAACCATTTTATATAATTGTTTTCATTTTACATTTCATTTTCAAAATACAGTTACACAAAAAATACAGTTCTTTTCCATATTATGATACCAATGTATTAAATTTTATATAAATAAGGTCACGTCAAAGCAACGGTTTGTAATGTAGAACTATTATTTTGAACAAGTGAAAATACTCTTTTTTGAGAAACAATCCACTAGTTACATGTTTAAATTATTTTTACTCATGTAGAAAAATAAATCAATTTATTGCATTCATTTGGGATCAGCAAAAGAAAACAAATTGAAGAAGCTTTAACATAAAGGTTGAATATTGAGTTAAGATAAATAATTACAATTTTTTGCCAGTAGATCAGGTCAGATTTTATACATAGTCGGAACTTTGAGTGACGAAAGCAGCCGAAAATTCAAATTTTACAAATTTCTAGAGGAGAAAACAAAAAATTTTCTTCTAAGAAAAAAAGTTATTTAATATTGCCTAAAAACTGCCGCTTATATCGGGCTTCGATAACTTACGATTTAGACGAAAAACGATATCAAAAATTTATTATTATAGGAAGTTGCTGTTTTTCAGCGTTTGCAGAATTTCAAATTATTTTGTGTTTCGAATTATGAGGACCTTGGGGGTTTACATTTAAGCACGTTCAATTATATGTGTGTGTTCATTTAATTAAAATATAAAGTATAAGTTCCGGCACAATTGTATTAGAAAATATTCAAATGAACTCGCAATTGTCGCAAAATAAAATCTTCTAATTTTTAGTTAAATCAAAAACACCTTTTAATTGATTTATATCCGAAACTGTAGTTCAAAGAAAAAAAGAAAACATAAACATGTCTGTAAGGGTTTGTTCGCAATCAAATTGCAATACATGTTGATAATTTGATTTTCCTTAAATGTACTGAAAAATATTCTTTTTATACATTTTTTTTGTTGGTTTTTTCGGAACATATTTATATTAAAAATATATAACTGTTTATTTAAACTTACCTATCATGAGCTGAGAATTTTAATTTAATTGTATGAGCTGGACCATTTTCATAATTATTATTTAAATCACGTTTCCGACGGCGATTTTGTTGTTCCAGATGCTTTTGATGTGCTTGCTCTAAAGTATTACGATCAAAATGAGCTGGCTCCCAATGTAAAATGAATGGATTTATATGGTGGTGTTGTCCTAAAAGTATTCAAGTTGAAAAAAAAACATGAATAATCAAATATTTTTAAATAAATTTAAAAGAAAAATGTTAGCAGAAAAAAATGGAAAATGTGAACTACATAACAAACTGTTTGATTAAAAATTAAATAATAAGCACAAATGTTTACGTATTTTAATGAAAAAGTATGTGTACGAACTTAATTATAATCAAACGATTTCAGTATTTTATTTCATTTAAATTTAAAATATTTAATTAATTCTGTACATGAGTATGTATATTATTTATTCTTTTAAAATTTGTGAAGATTAATTGATGAGGAGAAGGTAAGGTATGTTGTCTAGACTTTTAAGGAATAAAAATGGTACAACGCAGAAATTTTTAATTTTATAAATTTATAAATTCTTAAAGGTATTCACAAATTATGTGTTTGTCCGTGTAATATTTCTTATTATTTGTTATATAGAGTCACGCGGGCTTAAATCCAATTTTGTTTTGGTAAAATTATAAAGTGACAATCATTTTCTTGCACATGGACTCTTACAACTAACATACAAAAAATAATTTGTTTTAATGTAATTTTAGTCGGATTGGTATTCACTGATCTTCTTGGATCAGTGATATTTATTTCCTGTTTTATCACATTATTAATCATCACCAAAATCCTTTGACTTTTCTAAAATTTTTGATATTTATCAGTTCCCCATAATATGACTTAATGGATTTAACAAATTTGTGATTTAATAATATTAATGCGACCTACATATGCTTCTTTGCTTCTGAGCCCCTAATGATATCCAATCAACATTTTGAAAACAAAGTTATGCCATCTTTAAAAAGTTAATAATTATACTAATGTTACTGAAATCAGTTAATAATATAATCATTCTAATATTTAATTTTTATATTGGAATTGTTTTGGAAGGTTTATATTGAAAATGGCCTAGTTACATTTGCAATTTCCGAACTCTTTTAGCAACGATATTTACAATTGTTGGATCCTAGTTAAAACTTATAGTTTAATAACAAAATAAACAAAAGAAAATAAAATAAACCAAAACAATTAAAAAAAATATCTAGTTTCTAATTACATTGAAACCAGCAATGCTGAATTTTTATTTGAAACGGACTTTGGAATAAAACAAAGCACCCGTTTAATTTTTTAAATTAAAGACTCTTTCTTTTCAATTTCAAATTTTTTAAATTAAGATTAATAAAAATAAATAACTGAGATTTTCGCAAACACTATTGTATAAATAGTTTAACTTTTTAAGCAACGAAATCTTAATTTAACTTAAGAACGTAAAGTGCTATACAATATTAAAAGTTTATTTCCGAACATGTTCTACATTTGAAACAATTCATAATATAGGAAGTTATTGGAATAACTCCATATCCTTTTGAATTTTAAATTATTGCTTTTTTTCGGAATGATTTTAATAAAAGAATGCTGAAATTATTTTTCTCTTAATTAAACACTCAATTATTAAAACAAAAAGAACAAAAGAAAATTGCATAAGTTGACACATGCACGCATGGTTTACCATTGAGATTCAATTGAACTTTTTTCTGAAAATGAAATTTTAATGTTTATACTAAGAATTTTATTTTTAATTTAAATTTATACATTTTGCTTTAAAGGCACTTCCACAGCTGCAATGGCATTTTTATAGCTAATATACAATGGCATTTTTATAGGATGAATTTAGTATAGTGATAATTTTATAAAAAATCTACTGTCGGGAGCCAAAAAGTTAAGTATTGTATAAATAGTGGACAAAATTGCATAGAAATCAGTAAAATCTAATTGCCTACCTTAAGTCTTATAATTGTATATGGAAATTAAAAGTTGTTAGGTATTTGTCAATATTATAGAGTTTAAATCTCTATGGCATAATATCGAAGGCATGTAATATGATTAATTCAGTTCAGCGATTAATGTTCAACTGGAAATTTTCTTAAAACTCTTAATGTAAACAGAAAAAGTCAAAAAGTATAAAAAAAAATTTTTTTGAGACATACAAAATCGTAAATTAAAAAAATATTATGATTATTATTTTCACCTATGTACAAGTGACAGAGTAATTAACAAAGATTTAATTGTTTTTTTTTTTGCACATAGAACTTCATTTATATAGTTTCATGAAAAGAAACTTGATTACACAAAATTAAAAACAAAAAATGAAAAACCTAATTTAATGTAAACCTAAAATCTTCCGCCTTTTTTATAGATTTGACATATCATATAGAAAAGAAACTACAAAAAATAAAGCTCTAAATGAGTCTTTACACTTGACAATAAAAAAAAACAAATGGCATGATTAAATTCTGCAGCATATACACTTACAGTTTAGGTTTTATATTTTCACATTAATTGTTAATTTCTATACACTGACTATAAAGGTTCCCTTACAAGTTTCTCTACACATACGTACATATATATGTATAAGAATATTACACATTTAATGTGACGTACAAATCATAATAGCTTAGACTGCCTATCAGAATTTATTTCTTAGATACTACATACATATTTGAGATCAAGGTTTATTATGTCGGATTGTAATTATGATTGTGAAGCTAACTTTTATATAGGAACTTATACTTATACATATGTTTACATTTACATATGCAATTTTATTGAGTTATATTAGATTATAAGAGAAACTAAATTATGAATAGCATCAACAGAAAAAAAAATCTCTTCTAAACTAATTATGATTCACACTATTTTATTTAGGCTCATGTGAAAGGGTACTAGTACAATGTCATTAAAGAAAATTAGTCTTATTAAATCACTATGCAAAATATCATGAGGAAATTACGTAACGGGAAGAAAAAACTGTGTGAAAAATCAATTATACATTTGAAACATAATATTGTGTTGGTAGAAGTAAGCTTATTCACTGTCCTACATACACTTTCCTAAGGTAAATTATATAGGATTTATGGTTGTTTTTGTATGCGAAAATAATTAGTACCTTTCCTGCTCCTTTTATATAACTATGGCAAATACGTACACATCTACATACATACTAATGATATATGAGAACCATCCTACTCACTACCTATTGCTTATTATTGGTTGATCATAGTTTTGGACATAATTATCACTGTGATTCTAATGTAGATAGATTATGTTTTGAAAAACCACATTTTAATTTATTTTTAACTCTATTCACATGCATTTTTCGTATTTGGGAATTTAAAATAATGAAACTTTATCAAAAGTATCTAATAAATCTGCAAAAGTAACTAAATTATAAAGTTTTATGTTTGTGGTTTTAAATTGAAACCATATTAGTAGTCTAAGGTTTTACAATTTTTTTTAATTTACTTTTTATTTAACTAGGTAAAGTAATAAAATTCAGATAGCTTCCACTTTCTAGCATAAGTTATAGAAAAGATATTTTATTAAAAATTTTAATATTGTTTTATCTTCTAATTGAATTTAGCTCAGTTGAACATCACATAAGTTTAATTCTTATTAGAAAACTATTTTCCATAGTTTATGTTGTAACTATTTTTATTTCGTTTGGTTTTTACAACATTGTAGCCCTAATTTTGTTTACACATCAGCAAAAATATGTGAATGGGATGATTTATAAAGGTATTAGTTACAACATCAAAAATAGGTAAAACTTCTATTTCGAAATTTTACTGGTTTTCCGCAAAATTTATGTTAAATCAAAAGTAATTTAAATAATTAGGAGTTTTTTTTTTGAAAAACATTACGAGTATTTTCATTAGTTCAAAGAAAAAGTGCGCTACTTTACAAAGCATTAATTGTACCCAAATTTGTTAAGCCTTAAAAATCTTGAAATTAAAATGGTGTTTCTGTTAAACTCTTTTACCAAGATTGAGGAATGGATTACCAAGGTTTTAAGATTGAGGAATGTGAAAAAAGTCTGTATAAAAATTTTTGAAATTTCCGAATATTTCATATAAAATTTTCGTGGCAGGGAAAATTAAACAAAAAAGCGAAAAAATAGATTTTCCAAAAATAGAATGCTGGGTATTCCGAAAGTACATAAATAGAAAGTTAAGTCTTTTATTGATTTCAAGCCTTTCAAATGCTATTTGTTTGAAGCTTCTATCTTTTTCGTAGTGTTAGTTAAAAAATCTGACCAATTAGGAATTGTTGTAGTAAATCGATAAAATCATTGTATCTCGGAAAACCTTGAGATTTGGCACCCTATCGTTCTTTAAAAAAATGTTCTTATTTTTGATCCTCTTTTTGATAAGATTTATTTAATTTATGTGTGGAATATTTTTTACTGTTCTTGACTATAATAGAAATTTGAAACCTGAACCATTAATTTAATCGATTGTTAAATAAAGTAAGTACATAATTTTCAAGTGAAAAACTAAAATGTGTCTATTTCATGCATCACGTAAACAGAATTCAAAAGAAAAAAAAAATTGAATTCCACTAGTTATTAAAGACTTTGATTTTAGCATGCGTCAAAATAACCTTGACCCAACATTGAAAAAAAAAACCGGAGCGTGAATAAACGTGGAGACTTGTAGCCGACTGTTTTTTATTTCTTTCTCTTATTTATTTCATTTCTTTCCTGTTTTATTTTCTGCATTTCCTATTCTTTTTTTTTTATAATTGTGTTGAAAAGAGAAAGATAACAAAAGTCAAGTTTTTCAAATTTTTTCCGTGGATTATGCTGAAATTGATATTTTTTGGTTTTATTTTTACTTTGCAATTTCCTTATTTCTCAATTCTCATTACCTTAAAAGGTTTCTTTTAGTGCGATTTAATTTTCATGGTATTCCATAGAAAATATTTGAATGTACAATGAGTACATGTATTTTAAGGTGTGTTTTTTACTTACATTTTGAACATATACAAACAATGTGATTTATCTTTGCTTAATATTATAAAATTTATTTTAAAAAGTTACACAAAAAAAATTCAAATTTAGTAAAATTTAAATATTACTTAATATAGGCTTTTGTAACGCTAATATTACAGAATTTTAAAAGCCAAGCAAGATTTAAAAAATAATAC